TTTATATCCCTCATAAATATGTCAATTATCAATGTTACCCCTTAATTATTAATGGTGTAAATGTGATTGTCCGCTATTTTCCCTGTTCAAAGATCACATTTTTTTCATTCATTTTTCTTTCTTTGTTTGTTCTTCTTCCGCCGACAATAATGTTTCCCCTTCTTCCTATTAGGAGATGTGCAATATATATATATATATATATATATATATATATATATATATATATATATATATATATATATATATATATATATATATATATATATATATATATATCATGTTTTGAAAATTGAAGGGTAACATTTACACCATTAATAATTTAAGAGTGACATTGATAATTGACATATTTATGAGAGATATATATTATAATTTTTTCCAAAATCATATAATACAGGGATTTAGGCTAGACTTATTCTTGCAATTTTTAAAGATGACATGGATTTTTAAAAAAAAAAAGTTTAAAAACATTTAGGCCTTTAGGGTGCCAGCTCGGCTCGAAAGCTTTCACTTGTTGAAAGCTTTCAACCTATTCTGCAGACTTTTGTCATTTATTATTATTACTAATTTTTTAAATGATGTAATGTTGAATGATTATATTTAAATAAATATTTTAAAGTATATCAATGCAATATTATATAGAAAATGTTTATACATAGATAAATAAATATTAAATTTGTTTATTTAAATCAGTAATTTAAAGTACATAAATTTAAGATAATATATGAGAGATTGATTATAATTGTTACTAAAATAAATATTTATAACTTTGTAATAACGCTAGTCTAAATATTTAGTCTAAAAGTGATAGTCTAAAAAAATATTACTTTTTGTTTAAATTTCTCTAATTCTTCTTAATTCTCTTTTGAGTAGCATTGTCATTGTTTTCATCTTCCGTACATGTCTTCTCTTTTTTATTTTTTTATTGGTAGTGTGTCATTTGCAATTAGGTTACTGGTGACAGCATAGAGAGATTTATCATGTAATGAGATTATGCTGTAGGAAGCTTTAAATTGGCCTTGCTATGTATATGGCTGAGATTTTAGTTGTAATATGATCTCTTTAACTTACAAACACCTATTGATATTTAATAGTGATAGTTTTTTTTCCTACATGTTTCATGTGCTGTGAGATGTGTGTCGGAGGTTATCATGTGAAAATATTGAACAAAATATTAATATTTATTATATTTGTATACAATACTTAGTAAATAAATATATATAACATGTTTTGTATTATAACTTTGATATTTAATTACAAGATAATGTAAAAAAAAAAAAAAAAAAAGACAATGGACAATGTAATGAGTATAATAAATTAATAAATTTGAAGGTAAGGAATCTTTGAAGGGTAGAAAATAAAGATAATATAACTAATAAAATTATATTTCTTTTAAATTTTTTTATAATGAATAAATTTTTTAAATAAAGCATTATAGAAATCTAATTTTAAATTAATTAAATGCATATGTATTATTTTTTATTGTAGCTACTAATTTATTTAATTTAATAAGAGTAATAAAGTGTCGTACATACTTTTCATCAACAATAATGAATCAGTGATTTTTTTTTAAAATTTCCATTCCTTGTTGAAACAAATTGTTTTGAGAGTTTGTCAATAGGACAATTGCTACAATTGCTGTCAATAGAGGATGATAATAAATAATTCAAAATATATGGTTACAATAGATATTGTTATAATGATATATTAAAAAATTAACTTACAAATTTGTTTAGAAGTTTTCATGCATTGATAAAATTATGATGTGTAAACTTGTTTAATTGAAGTTAGTAGGACGTTAACATTGTCAATTATTTGGAAAATGGTCCTACCGTTTTAGAGTCCATGTGTAATTGTATTTATGATCAACAACTTTGTAATTAGGCCGCGTAGGTCTGACAATGATGTAAGAACAATTTTGTTCGATAAAAAAATAATAGTATAATATTTGTAAAGTAATGTACAACTATACAATTATAAAAATATATAAAAAATATTAATACCATAATGACCTAAATCATTCCAATAATGCAAAGCATAATTGAAATATTAAGTTTTGTTCTAAATAATCAAAAGAAGATTACTTAAACGTAAAAAAAAAAAAAAAAAAAAAAAAAAAAAAAAAAAAAAAAAAAAACTTAACCTAAATTTTTTTTTTTTAAATAATAATAAAATTCAAGAAAATCAAATGATTTTTAAAGTTATTGATTTATAATCTTTGATGCTAAACTTTGAATGCTATGTATTCAGTCGGAAATTATTTGACCAAAGTTTATGTTAAATTTTATATTCTATATATGTTTAATACATTTTAACATATTCATAATATATGTTTAACAATTATGCCAACTGTAATTGGGATGGGGTTCGAACCTAAGACCTTTCTTATATAAATGAATGAGTATGTTAAGAATAATAAATAGTTAACGGAACGGAATTTAGGGTTATTTAAGAGAAGAAAATAATATAATAGAAGGTTAATAAGAAAAATCATTAAAAATACTAAAATCAAAATAATATGAACTATTCATTTTAAGAAACAACTACTACCGACATTTTTTTTATTCCAGTTAAGGGCCTAACATTATTGGCTCTTATTAAATTTATTATAGACGTAGATTATTATTATTATTATTATTATTATTATTATTATTATTATTATTATTATTATTATTATTGTTGTTGTTGTTGTTGTTGTTATTGTTGTTGTTGTTATTATTATTATTACTCTGATATATTATAATGTTATTTGAAATTGAGCTCACTTTTGAAAGTGAGAGCATCGTAAGGTTTGCAGAGAAAATAATAATAAAAAAATATATATAAATTTAGTGATGTGGAGGCGTTATTGGTTCTTTGTGTTTCAGTAGGTTGAGAAAGTATATGAACAGATACTACAATGTAATAGAGCCAGTAACTTTCAAAAAAAAAAATTTAGTGATGTGGAAGTAGAGTCTATTTTTGGAAGTGAAAGATATTGCAGGAATTAAAATAACTTTAGGGCATCTCGAACAAGGGAATTTTACACAAGAATTTAAAAAAAAAAAAGGTATGTGGAGGAGAGAGGAGAGATAGGATTGTGGTAGTCATGTTAATTTGGGGATTTTGTGAGATTTTGAGGAATTTTGTAGAGATTTTGTCAGTTTATTATTTTGTTTTTTATTTTTTCTTTTCTTTTTTTCATTTTCACTCATTTCTCTTTCTTAATCACATCTTCAAAATTACAATTCCTACTAGATCTTTTATTTCCCTGAAATTGTAGTAACTCCTCAAAAATTACACCAAGATTTTCACTAGTGAGGATGCCATGAGTAAGTAATTTTAACGAAAAGTATGAGTTGCATAGAGAAATGATGAACATCCTCTGTTTTTGCATAATCTTTTGGCACTCTTTTTGATGATAAAAAAGAGAATGGCCCTATAAAGCAGAATCACACAAAATACATTTCATTTCAAGAAATGCCCCAAACCAACCAATCATATTTAGCTATTCTCATAACCCAACCAATAACAAAGATAAGGGGCAAAACAGATAAATAACTTTCACAAAGGTTTTAATTATATTATATTATTATTATTATTATTATTATTATTGAAAAATGACATTTCATCTCTCAATTATTTAGTTATAGTGAGTTCAATCCCTTATTATTGATGTCTCGAATTTTGGTCTTAAATTGATATTAGAAGTTGTACTTTTAGTCTTTTAAACGAGTAATCTACAACATAATTAGGGGAAGAAAACGACATGAATTGTTATTAGAAGTGTGCTTAGCCTAAAAAAAACTCTAAATTGTAAAATTTTCATGCTACTTATTTGATATTTGGAGACCAAGATGCAAAAGAACTATTGCGATATCTACTTAAGGACAAAATGCGAAAATCCCAACATTGAGGATTGATCAACTACACACACACTAGAGATCATATGCTGTTATTCTCCTAGGTTAAAAATAGGGTTGAATCTCAAGTCCATCCAATGGTCATTGAAACATCTCAACCGTTGATTAGAAATTTTAAGTAGCGATTGATTTTGTTTGAATTCGTGCACTGAGGGGTAAAAAAGTACCCAAAAAAACTCCATAGCAGAACTACGTAATCGTCTTCATAAGCCATCTTCTCCATTGTAGCCTATTGTCTTTGCATCTTCAAACGATCTCTGATCACTCACATGCTGGAAAAAGGTTAATATATGCACCTTAAGGTGCAACATGAAGTTTCAATGTTATGCACATTACGGGTTATAAGTGTGCTCCTAAAGGGAAACTATTATGCACATTAATTTCCAACTTTATACCCCTAAAGGTGCAAATAGATGCAACCAAAGTTCTAAAGTTTTACACCTTATAGTTAAATGTACACCTTATGGTGAAAATTTATGCACCTTAAGGTGCAAATTTGCCACATAGAGTTTCAAAGCTACGCAAACGTCTTCATAAGTCATCTTCTCCATTGTTGCCCGTTGTCTTTGCATCTTAAAACCATCTCCGATCATTCACAGGCGAGAAGAAGGTTAATATATGCACCTTCAGGTGCAAATTTATGAACCTGAAGTTTAGATGATGCACCAGGTTGTGCAAGTTGTGAAAACTCTCCCAACCAATGTGAGTATATATACATATTTATTGGAAAATAATATCACACTTATGTTGTAAGTCAAGTAAATAGTGTAACTGAATCTCCAAAACTCTAATGAAGTCTCATAACCCAATAATGAACACTAAATTAAACAATCAAAACAGTACATATAAATTCTAATGTTATCTATTTGTACTTATTATTCCAGGATATATACGAAATAAATTAAATCTCACTTTTACATAATACTTTGCAAATCACAAAACAGATGTAAAACCAGTTTTTCTTATATCAAATGAAACAAGTGGGGAAAACATTGTGTGGTATGAAGCAAATTCCACCGAAGGTGAAAGGTAGTCGAAGCCTACCCTACTTTTTCAAGGACAATCTTTCCCTATAAATACAATACTTCCCCATTCACATCTCCTTCATGTCTTCCACCCCAATTTCTTCATATCCTTTTTTTCCCAATGTTATTGTCTCTTTCAACCTCCTCAAACCATAATCTTCATTTAATCAGCTTTACAAATATATAAATATAAATAATTAAATAATTAACATATTTTTCTGCTAAACTTTTAAGGTTGTCACATTTCAACTTAGAATAACATCTAAGGTTGCTCTGTTCTTCCGATCCCAGTCTGACACTGAAAGATGAGCAAAACATCGAGTGTCTGTGTGGGGTTGCCGTCGTGCCTGGAGCCGCGCATTCTCGTGCACAAAATGGAGTCGACGAAACCGCCGGAGGAAATTTCTGCAGAGACCAAAGAATTAATCAATGGCGATTTGGGTAGTGGGTGGAGCTTTATACAGGCGCTGGGGTCGCCGGAGAGGAATCAGACGGCGGGGAAGGAGGCGGAGGAGGAGGTGTACGTTCACCCGATGGTGAAGCGCTCCGCTTCCACTCTGAGCACGAAGAGCTTGGAGATGTGTACGGAGAGCTTGGGGAGCGAAACCGGCAGCGACATTAGCGAGAGCGTTGAAGAATTCTCGTCTCTGTTACCGGAAAAAGAGAATTCCCCGGCGGCTGCGGCGGCGGCGGCGACCGAGAAGTGCTACAGGTATCGGGAGGCGTTTTGTTCTTCTTCTTCTTCTTCTTCTAAGAAATCGAATCGGACCGGGGTGTTCCCGCCGCCGCTGACGTCAATCAGCGGCGGCGACGGGGTCCAGGTCAGGCCCCGCCGTGAAGGCGGCCGGTTAGTCATCACCGCCGTCGCCGTTACCCTCTGCAGCTCCTTCTTCCAGGCCGAAAGATCCGACGGCCGCCTCAGGCTTTCGTTAAGAAAAACAGAGAATGAGGTTCTTGAAACCGAGGAAGAATCAGAGCATGAGATTTCCGACGACGACGACGGCAGCGATAGAGAAGGAGAAGATCATAACGCCGGCGCCGGCGCCGATGAGGTTGTTCCGATAACAATCCCGGCCAGCCGGTGCAAGGAAAGTGAGAACAGGAACAAAGAGATTCAAACCTGGTATTGTGTCGCCATTTCCTAAAATCTTCCTTTCGGAGGATCCGACGGTAATTCGATCCCGTATTTAGCGCTATTATGTTTTTTTTTTTTTTTTTTAATAATTATTTTCTAAATGGCAGTTATTATGGTTATTGGTTATGAACCCTATCCACTATTCCCAATATTATATTCTATGTATAAAATATCCAATTCACTGTTAAACCTAACTAGCTAATATATATAGTCAGTATTAATTTGTACTGTTAATTGGTCTTCGATCTTCAATTCATTGCAGAGAATGGCCATGGTGGTCCAATGTCGTCCTATGTTTGGTCCTTTTTTCTTTAATCATTAAGGCTGTACTATAAAACCATGTTTCGATTGGTTATATATGTTAGTTCCAACAGATACGACGATGATGATTCAATTATGTCTTGCAATTTTACATGCTCAAACTCATGTCAATCCGTATCGTTTGTACGGGATTTTTACTCTTAAACCTAATACCCGTCTATTCGGAATAACTGTATTGTACTTGGTGCATAAGACATTTGTATTAAATGAATATTACACCTATGTATAAGACATTAAATTGATCTATACCTTAAAATGTTTGTGACATTCTATAATAACAATAACGGATGGCTCTTAATTAGGAGCAAGCCCGACCAAATTAGCTAGATAATTGGTTTGATAATCATAATGTTTCAAGTTTGACTCTCCACAACTTAAGTTCTGGTTTACTTTAATCTTTTGTTGGTTAAGATTACAATGTGAGTTTCATTCAGGAGTGATTTAGAGTACACCTTTGAATAGCGATTACGAATTTATTTTTTTAATGACTCTAATGTTCATCGGTTGCTGCAAGTGGGCTGTTGTACGACAACCTTGTACGTATGCCCGGTAACTATCAGCTTACAAGGGCCTCTTTCCCAACTTCCAATCACCATACACTTATATGGCCAGTGGATTAAAGTTCCCATCGAATCAAGCCAAGATTCTGTGTGCATATACCATTGTTGGCCCACTCTGCTTCTCGAGTCTCGAGGATTAGATAAAGGCAATCACAATAGTAGTTTTTGAGGCTATACTTATGTGGAGGAGAGAGTAAATTTGATCTTTACTGAAGGACCTTGGTTTTTGTTGTGAATCCTACCAAGAAAGAAAAAAAAAAAAAAAAAAAAAGAGTAAATTTGGCTTGCGCCCGTCCAACCGGGCGTGTAAACCTCTACTTTTTTAAATTTTGTTTTTTCAAATTTTGATTTTGGGGATTTTGTTTTTTTTTGTTTTTTTGTTTTTTTTTGTTTTTTTGTTTTTTTTTTTGTTTTTTTGTTTTTTTTTTCCCTTCCCTTCCATTCAATCTTTAGGCAATCACAATAGTAATTTTTGAGACAATACTTATGTGGAGGAGAGAGTAAATTTGGTCTTTACTGAAGGACCTTGGTTTTTGTCATGGATCCTACCAAGAAAGAAAAAAAAAAAAAAAAGGTAAAGTTGCCTAGCTCGCGCCCGTCCAACTGGGTGTGTAAACCTTTACTTTTTTAAATTTTGTTTTTTCAAATTTTGATTTTGGGGATTTTGTTTTGTTTTGTTTTTTCCCTTCCTTTCCATTCCATCTTTTCTTTCCTAGTCACACCTGCAACAATTCATAAAAAACTACAATTATTAGAGATGCTCTCACTCAACTCATAAAAACCACAACTATTGGAGATGCTCTAACTCTTTTGATAACGTTGTTATATATATATATATATATATATAAGGGTTCAGGTGCGGGTATAACTTCCGGTGCGGTTGTGCAGTTGACGCACCTTAAGTATTAAAATGACGCACCTTAAGTACCCAAACAAAGTACCTTAAGAACACAAACCAAGTACCTTAAGCACACAACAATGCACCTTAAGAACACAAACCACGCACCTAAGGTTTTAAAATGGCTCACCTTAAGTTTCACACAACTGACACACCTTAAGCATACAAATCACGCACATTAAGAATGAAAACAACGCACCTTAAGAAGGAAAACCACGCAACTTAAGTTTCAACAACTACTCACATTAAGCACAAAATTCACGCATCTTAAGCACAAAAACAACGCACCTTAAGAAGGAAAACCACACACTAAGTTTCACAACTACTCACATTAAGCACACAAAACCGCTCACCTTAAGCACAAAACTCACGCACCTTAAGAAGAAAAATCACGCACCTTAAGCACAAAAACCACGCACCTTAAATTTGACCTAGATGTAAAAATTACCAAATTGCCTCCGCATTTATTTTAAAAATTTGGTAATCCTGGACATTGATTTAAGCAAGATCAATGGCTCAGATTTAACTACACAACCGCATGAGATAAGTTTAAATGAGACATAAGTTAAACAGAGTTGGCATGCAATCTATTGATCTTCTTTTACAACGATATTTAATTTTTTTTTTTGAACGCAAAAAGAAACTTTCATTACTGATCAGAATAAATGCGCAATACAATCAGGTGGGACACCCGTCCACACTCCTGAGACAGCCGTAGAAACGGTCGCCCGAGCAAGCTCATGAGCCACACGATTCGCTGACCTCCTGATATGGGATACAGTAATATTCCCGATATCCCTAGCAATCGACTTACATTGCTTCACAATTAACCCAACATAAGAAAAATCAGAAAAACTAGAATTGAAAGCAGTACAAAATTTAAACAATCCGATTCCAAGCTAATATTGCTGTAGCCTTGCGTCTTAATCCAAGACAAGGCCTCCTTGACTCCTAAAATCTCTGCCATGAATGGATCATCCTCGCCATCCAAACGTCCACACCTCGCCGCAACAAAAGCTCCTGCATGATCACGTAACACAGCACCAAAACCGGCACCACTTCTAGAGACAGACGCATCGACATTGCATTTAAGTACATCTCTCGGCGGTGGGATCCACTCGATAGGGGTAGAACCGGTTCCATTCGAATGGTGTCTACCCGAATAAGCCTCTTTCCAATCCAATTGCAAACGGCCAAGATGATTACATGCCCACACAGTAGAAGGATATTTATTTCGCCACACAACATCATTACGGGCAACCCAAACGATCCAGAAAATGGCAGCTAGCTTGACCACATCATCGCCGTCCGGCAAACTGAACCAATCCGCCAGGAAACATGGCAACTCACGTCCTTGGCGCACATCCGCATGTCCCCAAAGGCTTTGTGCAAACCTGCAATCACAGAACAAGTGCTCAGTTGTCTCCGCATGATTTCCACAAATCGGACAGCCTCCGCCGACCCAAACCCTTCTGGAGTGTAGATTTTCACGTACTGGCAAAATTTCTCGCGCGCAACGCCATAACAAATTCTTCACCTTCGGGGGTATTGGTAACGCCCAAAGTTTTGTCCATGCCTGAAAATAACCTGCGCTCCTATTCCACACTGCATTCTGTATGAGCAAATGGTAGCCCTGCTTGACTGTATAACAACCTCGAATGTCACCTACCCATCTCCAACAATCATAGTACTGGACATTCACAGGAGTGGCCAAAATTTTTTGCACATCTTCAGGGAGAAAAATGTCACGGATGAGATCCTCGTCCCACCGACCGTGTTCATCCATCAGCCCACGTACCGTCGCTGCCTGGAGATGCTCCGCACACGGGGTGGCTAACCGGACATTGGAAGTAGCAGCAATCCAATTCCAGCCCCAAATTGTCGTATCGTTCCCATCCCCAATGCGTCTAGCGAGCCCCAGCTTTAACACTTCTCGACCGGCTAGGATACTCCGCCAGATGTAGCTCGGATTCCCTCCCAATTGCGCTTCCATGAAATCTGTCCTGGGATAATACTTGGCTTTCATAATTTGGCCAACCAAAGAATTCGGGTGGATCAACAGAAGCCACCCTTGTTTAGCCAAAAGGGCGATATTAAAATCATGTAATTTTTTAAAACCAAGCCCACCCTTTGCCTTTGACATACACATACGATCCCAACAAAGCCAATGAATCCCTCGACTGCCTCCCCCCCCCCCACCACCCCACCAGAAGCGATTGAGCATTTTTTCTAGGGAGTCACAGATTCTCAGGGGTAGTAAGAAAACCGACATAGTGAAAATAGGCATTGATTGCGCAATACTCTTTAGAAGGACTTCTTTACCTGCTCGGGATAACAGTTTGTTCTGCCAGGCCCCAATTCTTCCCCGAATATTGCCTTCGATATATTTGAAGACTTCCGACTTGTTGCGTCCCAAGGCCGACGGAAGACCCAGATAGCGACCCAAATCAGCTGCTTCTGGAACTCCAATCAGACTCGCAACCCGGTCCCTGACTATTGATGATGTATTGTTGCTAAACACTGCCGTCGATTTATCATAGTTAATTAATTGCCCCGAGGCCAGACTATACACCTCCAGACACTCCTTAATTTTTGCAGCTTCACGTTCCTCAGCCCTGAAAAATAATAAGCTGTCGTCAGCAAAAAACAGGTGCGTGATGGTCGGCGTACCCCTAGCCACCCGTACACCATGAATGTCACCTCTAGCCTCAGCCTGTTGCAGAAGAATGGACAGACCTTCAGAGCTGATTATAAAGAGATAGGGCAACAAAGGGTCCCCTTGCCGGATACCCCGGGTGGGACGAACCTGTCTCGCCACCTCGCCATTTACTAATATAGAGTAATTCACCGAAGAAACGCATAACATCAACATCTCCACCCAATCCCTTGGAAACCCCAACGCTTCCAACATACCCTTCAAGAACAGCCATTCCATCCTATCGTACGCCTTAGCCATGTCCAGCTTCAGCGCCGCCCACCCCTGATTCCCCCCCGTTTTCCTACGGAGGAAATGTCCAACTTCGCCGGCCACAATAATATTGTCAGTAAGCAATCGTTCGGGAACGAAAGCACTTTGTGACATGGATACAACGTGCTCAAGACATGTTTTCAGTCTATTAGCCAACATTTTGGCCAGAATTTTATAAACGACTTCACACAATGCAATTGGCCGTAAGTCCGCTACTTTTTCAGGGACCGGCTTTTTTGGGATAAGAACGATATTAGAGTCGTTCAAACCCGGGTGGAAATGTCTATGTTCAACACATTTTATGATGAACACAGATAAATCATGCCCAATCACCGGCCAAAAATGTTGGAAAAAAGCCGGGGATAAGCCATCTGGCCCAGGTGCTTTTTCGGGTTGCATGGCAAACAAAGCCATCTTAACGTCATCTATGGTGAACGGACTGGACAACACACTTATCATCTCAGCCGTGACTCTCCTCCGAACCCGGTCAAAAAAATTGGCACCGCAAGTGCCGGAACAAAAAATATGTTCATAGTACCTGAGTATTTCCAGCTTCATCGCCGCACCCTCCACCCACTCGCCAGTTTGATTTTTGAGTTGGGATAGATGATTCTGTTTACGCCGTGCCGTTGCCATTTTGTGGAAATATCTAGTGTTAGCATCCCCGTGCCTTAGCCAAAGCTGCTTAGACCGCTGTTTTCAGAACATCTCCTCGGCTTGCAGGACCGCATCCAGTTCCTTCTCGGCTGCCATAAAAGTTCGCACAGCATTTGGCGAGCGATCCTCTTTCAACTTGTCCAACGTGCGTCTGAGTTGACTATTTCGGGCCCCAAACATCCGGTGGTGTTCACCACCCCACTTCCACAACCTTTCACCGCAAATAGCAAGCCGATCCTGGAATGGCAATCCGTTAGACATACGCCATGCTTCATCAACTACCCGCGTGCATCCAGCTTCCAACATCCAAGCCGATTCAAACCTGAAACGTCGAGCTGTTTGTCGCACCTGGTCGGCATTAATATCTAGAAAAATTGCGCAGTGGTCAGAAGTATGCGCATATATATTGCGTACCACAGCGTCTTCGTGCAATTCAAGCCAATCCACCGTCGCCATCACCCTGTCCAACCTCTCCTCCACCCACGATTCCGTACCTCTCCCTTTCACCCATGTGAACCGTCCCCCAAGCATACCCAGGTCAGCCAGCCCACAATCCTCCAACACGTCATTAAACCCCTCAATGAGAGCCGAGGGATGTGAGTGCAATCCTCTTTTCTCCGCAAGACTAGTGATATCGTTGAAGTCACCTACAACAACCCAAGGAGCTTGAGATTCAACCTTTAATTGTCGCAGCAAATCCCAGGTAACATGCCTTCTACTTCTGTCTGATTCTCCGTAAAAACCCGTCATTCTCCACCCCGGCCGACCCGGCAGAGTTATGTCCATATCGATATGATTATTGGAATAACTCTTTAGAGACGCCGTATTTTTATCTCTCTAGAGGAAAGCCAGGCCTCCTCCGTACCCTACACGATCCACACATAACTTGCCTTCAAAACCTAATTTAATTCGTACCTCTTCCATTTTCGTTTCCGTAGCCTTTGTCTCCATCAAAAAGACAAATTGGGGCTTCTGCTTGGACACAATGCCCATTAGCTCTCGAACTGACCGGTCGCCCCCCAGACCCCGGTAGTTCCAGCTCAGTAAACTCATTGGATCCGGCGAGTCTGGTCCTCCAGACCCGCCACATCATCTTGTTGTATCTTTTCTGCCATCCGCACGTCATCTCTAACGACTTCCACCATACTCATGTTATCTTCCCTTCTGCGCTTCAGATCACCATGCACTGCCTCCGCTTCCTCCATATCTACGATCGCAGCCGGAGCCAGATCTCCAGAACGACTCGTCAGTCCCGATTCCAGGGACACTGCCGGCAGGGTGACGGACAGTAGCCATTTCGCGCCGATTGGGCGCACCTGGCGTCTGGGGCCAGCACGTAACCAGGGGCCAAACGGAAAATCCTCTGGTAAAAGACCTTGCTCATACGCCACCTTACAAAACTTGTCTGAGTGGCCTAGTAAGCCGCAACAATAACAAAAAGTACTAAGCCTTTCATATTTAAATGTTATACATCGCGTCGTGCCATCCCATTGAAGTAGTTTCATTCTCCTCTTGATCGGCGATGAGACATCAACCTTCACGCGGATCCTGTAAAAACTTCTCTAGGTCCCCCCAAAATTGTATGGGTCAGCAGTAACAAACGATCTGATGTATTCCCCTATCTTGGCGATGAAATCCGGAGATGCATACATTGAGGGCAAACCATGAAACTGGATCCAAAATGGAATCGCGTTAAGCGGAACATCTTCCGGCGGAGACCCTTCAGGAACCTGTGCGCAGATCAGATGGTGATTCTCGAAGGACCACGGTCCATCGTCGAGTATCCGGTGCATGTCTTTCGGGTGAGGAAACTGGAACAAAAACAAATCGTCCGCCAAAGGAAACGCATACATCCCCATCACCGGGCGCCACACCGCTGCTAGGACGTGTTGCATGTGTTCAAAGCGGATCGGTCGATCGGTCAGAAGTCGCCCGACAATGTTATTCTGGATTGTCGCGTCCGGGATCACCTTCGCCTCCGGTGCAGCCAGTCCACCACCATCCTCCTCGGCTATCGCTAAATCGGCACATCGACGCTCCAAAAGTCGGAGATCCATTTGAAGATACGGGCTGCGATGTAAACGCCACAACCGCATGAGATAAGTCGGAGATCCATTTGGTAATCCTGGACATTGATTTAAGCAAGATCAATGGCTCAGATTTAACTACACAACCGCATGAGATAAGTTTAAATGAGACATAAGTTAAACAGAGTTGGCATGCAATCTATTGATCTTCTTTTACAACGATATTTAATTAATTATATATGATGTTTAGATTATACTCAGAAAATATAAGATTGCAAATTCGGTCAATATTATATTCGATCGTATAAATGTTACATGAAATGAGACTTAGTTTTCGATTCAATATAAAATTTTTGTATAATTGTATTCGCACTGCTGTAAAATTCTCTTGTAATTGCATTAACAGTTTGCAAACTTACCAATTGCTTTAAAGTGCTGAATTCGAATCAATATAATATTTAACAAAACATATATAGTAACCTATGTAGCTCCCACATGTATGGTACTAGGTACCTGCATGTTCCTTCAATGTCTCAATACTTTCGAACTCATCACTTATAATAAATATCGACGGCCATATATACAAAACAACATAATAACATATTATTTCCATGCACACAACATTTATGTATATTGCAGTTTAAGGAAATTAAACTACATGTTTAAACTATTAGCGAAACTACACATTATTATTATTATTATTATTATTATTATTATTATTATTATTATTATTATTATTATTATTAATTATTATTATTATTATTATTATTATTATTATTATTATTATTATTATTATTATTATTATTATTATTATTATTATTATTATTATTATTATTATTATTTGTTGGTGCTCTATGTTAGCTGTCTAGCTCAGTCTTGAATTGAGAAAAATTGCCATGTTTGAACCAATACTGGGTGCAAGACTAAAAGCTATGAGCTTTCTGTGTCACAACATACAGTCACATGATGGATATACATACAATTATCATGAAATGGGAGGGGTGATAATGAAACCTCTCAGTTAGTTGCACATGTCCATGCAATTCTTGGTGCCAGATTTTGATATCCCAATCTGTTGTGTTGATATTTCCTTGGAGATATTTTGTGATCGAATTGCACCTAAACTGACAAATCAAGTATGATTAGGGATCGGATTTGATGAAATAAGTGTATCGGAAGCATGGCCGGATTTTGGGCCGTGCAAGATGGGCAACAGCTCAGTACCTAAATTTTTAGAGGGTCTAATATTTATTTTTTACCTAGCTATTTGAGAAATAATTTTTTTTTTTTTTACAATTAATCCTAAAATTCATCAGTTTTATCCCAAATTACTTCTCTCTCTTAATAAATAGGACCTAATTAATTGAGCATATTGAAACTGTTTCTCGAGGCTATTGGTACGTATGTTACTTTTAGTTGTCCTAGCTTTAATTTAAATTGGAAGTGAATTGAAGTAGGGACTGTGATTTTTGCATTCAGCTGGTGTTACATCGTTCATACTTATTTGAAGTAAAAATCATATATTTTACGGTATTGATTTTAAAGACTGCGCTTATACTTTTGGTAGGGCCTCATTTATTTATAAAGACGGTGCCACAAAAATCCAAAAACTGGTCCTGATCGGAAGTAAGGGTACGGTTGAAACTCGATCTTGAACTGACTCGTGGTGTTTTTTTCTATTTAGCCGGTATGCACTTTTGTTGAGAAAAGCGAGATCAAGAAATCAAACAAAAAAAAGAAGAAGAACACATGATTTACGTAGTTGGGTAATGTGTTTATGGGAGCAAAGCAGTTCTTTTTATTAATTATGATGATAATGCATCTAGGGTTACAAATTAAGCATCATATTATATGTAACCCTACTTATACATTTACAAAATTACTCATGTACTGTATAGCGGGGCGCTGCCCCCGCATCCCAACAATGCGACAGCAACCCGCTCCGCAAACCTAATTTCTAGCCTAAAAAAAAAATCCACTCGCCTTAGTTTAATATGGCCCACCACCGCCCTACCACCTTCTAGTAACATATGAAACTTTTAATAGTTTAGAGAATTGAAATAATTAATGTTTAACTACTAGGGATTAATTGAAGCTATGAAGTGATAAATATTGGCGTTGAGGTTAATTAGGTTAAATAGTATGTAGAGGAACTTGGGGGCCATAATGCATGTGTTCTGGTAGGGATAGCTGTCCTATACCAGAAATAGAGATAAAAATTAAGTGGTCTGTGTTTTGAGAGAGATCTTGTTTGGCTATGAATATGGTTGGGAGTCTTGTGAAGCTAGGAATATGTCCCTAATGACCATTGCTATAATATAAGATGACTGTCTATGTATATAGCAATACAAGTCATGCTACATCCCATAGCAAAAATATACTGGGGTGTTGGTAAATAGCTATTAGCTGATTTGGTTAGTGGATTTTACTAGTTGAGAGTATTATAATTAGTTGATTGTAAAAAGATGTTTGGTAAATTAGTTGTTAGCTGATAACTGATTCCATACAAAGTGACTTTCTTAAAAAGCTGATCGAAAATGTTGTTTTGAGCAACTTTTTGAATTTTAATGTATTGAAGCAAAAAGTTATTTAATCAAACACTCATTAATTGTTTAACCAAGTCAAGCAGTTAATAATGATCAAATAAACAAAAATTTACTGATATGCTAACTATTTTATCAAACAGACCGGGCCAATATCGAATTAGTCGTTATTGTTATTCACTTTCTGGCATGTCATTTTTTTTTTCAAGCTTTTAAATAATATCACATGCGTTAGGGAGTGGTCGGTTTGATTTTTAATTAAGTACTAAGCATAAATGACAAGTAAATTTCGATAGAACATGCGAATTTTAATTTGTTTAGTACTTTAATTTCGCGAGAAACCCCTTGTATATTGTTGTTGTTGTTGCTATATTGGGTTTTTTTGATTTACGAAAAAGTCTTCTGAGTAAAGTTTGCATTGTAATTCTAACTGACAAAGAATTACAAGAAGATAAATCAACATGAGTTGTTCATAGCTGATTGGCTCAAACCGAGAAGATCACCAGACAACGTAACTCTCATGGAGATTCGAACTTGAAACCTTGTGGTTATGTTATATTATTGGGTTCCGATTAATTCAAAACCAAACAATTGGGGGAACTTCAATGAGGAGAGCTCTATCCGCTCCGATTGCTCCATACACAATATTCAAACCTAATATCTTGTTTACGGAGACCTAAACTTTTGTTGAAATCACAAGTCGTCGATGAAGACAACAATATATATATATATATATATATATATATATATATATATATATATATATATATATATATATATATATTGGGGGTGATACTAGCGACCGGGTGATCGGCCTAGAAGTAGTTGGTCGGTCCACAATATAATTGAAGTGCTCGGACCACTAGCCATTAGGTTGACAAGTTATGAAGGGTCGTTGGAGGGCTCGAGGGGCTATAAATGGAGCTCAAAACCGTGAGATTTGGGAGATCTTGCCTAAAGACTAACTTGGAAACTCGCTGCCTATTTTATTTTGCTTTCATATTCATATTTTAGAAAGTATTTTATAACCTAAGAGCCCGATTTTGTAAGCTTATTTTTAGGAATTCATTTTCTTTTGTACCCCTATCCGAATTTTCAAGAGCTTAAGGCAATTTATTATGCGCAAATTATCGTTTTTAAGTCTCTTTGTGTTCTGTTACTTTGTCTGATTAACAGTTGT